CACTATTGAGAATTAACGGAAGGGGGAAAGGTCACAGGGACCCAGATCAGCTTGATCCTTCTTTGGATTATTTGGCCCCATTGTCTTGAATGGCCCTGATCTTTGAAGAAGAGAACAATATTTAGATTGAACATAAAAGTAAATGAATCACTCAGGGGTCCCATTTTGTTGGTAGGGCTCCTGACTTCTATACCTCCCCCTCCTAGAAATAGCAAAAAGGGAAGTGTGTGAAACCACACATAAAAAGAGTGAACTGTGCTTCTGCCTCAAACCATGAACATTACCTGTCTTTAGGAATCTCTGGCCAAAATAATTCTATCTTGAAAGCAAAAGCCCTAATATCCAAGAAGTGGGGGGAAAAAATCTTTTCTTGGTCCCTTAACACATGGAACTCTCATGACAAAGTAAATTCATATGAGTAAATGTTTTGATATGGTTGTTGTATTAGTGCAGGTATTGGGGAGTTCCCATATTGTGATATTGTGCGTTTGTTCTGTGTGTGTGTTTGGGGTGTGGGTGTGTGTAAACAACCCCAACTAAAAAAGGTCTCACCTAATTTTCTGGTAGAATCATTTGTCTAGGACAGTGATGGCAAACCTATGACACGTGTGTCAGAGGTGACACGCGAACTCATTTTTTTGGTTGATTTTTCTTTGTTAAATGGCATTTAAATACATAAAATAAATATCAAAAATATAAATCTTTGTTTTACTATGGTTGCAAATATCAAAAAATTTCTATATGTGACACGGCACCAGAGTTAAGTTAGGATTTTTCAAAATGCTGACACGCCGAGCTCAAAAGGTTCACCATCACTGGTCTAGGAGGGTAACATGTACACAAAATTCATCCTGGTCCAAGATTGATACCTTGATCTCCAAGTTAGTGCTGGCACTTTTGAGGGAAAGAGGGTTGCTGGAAGGGGTGGGGGGCGAGGAGATGGAGAGGTTGACTATTGGAGGACTGAGGTTTGGTTTGGTTTTATGGTTGTTTTCTTTGTACTGACTGGGATTTTTCCAACCATGTGGTACAACCCCTCTCTGCCCCTTTCCAAACCTAGAACAGTTTAGCAGTAAAACCCACCGCTGTGTATAAACTATCTAAAATCCTATTTCCTTGGAAACTCGGATTTCGCTGGCACTCATTTTGCCCACTTGAACAGCTCGGGCCCTTCCTGTAATGGGGTGTTTCCCAGCTGCCCACCTCTAATTGCACATCTGGATTCAGAGTTCTCCAGCTAAGGACTCCGTGGTTCACGTGATGAGCGCTAGAACTCATTGGGTCGACCTGGTCCTCCACCTCAGTCTACGAAGTACACCCCGTCTGATGTGGGTCCTAATTTCCACCCCGGAAAGACTTGCATGCCCAGTGCCAGCCAAGCTCCCCTTCCCACATCTCTGTATCCCACTGCTCATGTGCCAGCGCCCGGAGAGACGTTGCACTGCCCTCATCCTTTACTCCAGCCACTCGATAAATGTGCAACTCAGAACATGTGGCTGTAACACAGGGCAGACTCTGACCTCCCCAAAATACCCGACGCACATATGCCCCGACCGTGCCCTCCTCCCGGTTAAATGCGTTGGCTAATGACATCTGACAGCCACACCCTGGCAATGTCTGTTAATATCCCCGTGAGCAGGCACGTCCAGGACGTTACCTGGTGGTCCAGTCACAGATGACTGCCAGAGCTGCCCTCCGTGCGCCTGGGCAGGTCACGCTTTGCTAAGTCCATTGGTTATTCCACTGCTTAAAAAAAAAAAAAAATTAAGGACATTTTTATGCAAAGGCCTCTCCCGGCAGCAGGTGTGACCCCTATTTGGGTTGGGTCGCCTCTCGCCTGAGTTATAGCTCCAGCCCTCGGAAGAGACGAGAAAAGGCAGAGCGCGCAGGGACCAATAGGTTTCGAACAAGTGGGCAAGAAGTTGCGGCCTTGACCTTGCTCGCCTCTGACCAGCGTGGAACGTGCTGAACTTGTGTGACAAACCGGCTCCCACAGTCTGCGTATGAACAGCTTGCCCACGCAGCAGTCCTTTGCAAACTGCGCCTTGACCCCAGGGCGCGCGCCAGAAGCCCGGCGGGGAGGGCGGCTAGCCCCGGCCCGTGCGGGGGCTGGAAATACGCCCCGGGGTGCCCCGGCGCGTGCGTGCGTGCGCGCGCCCGTGGGTGTCCGCGCCTGCGCGCTGCTCGAACCCTGCCCTCAACCCCGGGAACGTGCCTGCACGCGGGCAGCGGCGCCGTGCGCGCGTGCTGGGCGCAGGCGGGGGCGGCGCACGCGTGGTCCGTGCGCTCGCAGACGCTGGCGGGGTGTGCGGGTCCAGGCGCTCCAGCCCCGTCTCCGCATGGCCGTCCCTTTTGGAAACGCGGGAGTGCGCCAGGCGGTGACCTGGGGAGGGGCAAGGAGGGCCGCGAGCTGAGAATGTGCGCCCGGAGAGACGTGGCGCTGACCTCATCCCGAGGCAGCCTGCAGGTTATTTATGAGGTCTGATTTAAAAATAGTGGCTGCCAGGGAAGTGAAAAAGGAGCTCACCCCAAGCTATGAGGGAAGGACGGTTGCAAGAATGCTGTTTATGACGATATAAATCAACGTGGAGCTGGTGATGGGAAATATGGAGAGAGTGAGTTTGGGAGAGAAACAAGGAAACCAAGTCAAGAAGGAAAAATGAGTTTTCCTCCTCTGCCCGGCCCACTCCCGAAATCCCTCCCTTCCCCGGGCGCCCACGGTGCCAGCGGGGAGGCTGGCGAAGGGTGAGCGCGCCCGTCCCCACCAGGGTCTTCCCTAAGTTAAATGAGGCTCGTTAGAGGGCGAGGGAATACATGTAAATAAACAACTTGGAAGATTTATGGGAAGGAGTTCAATTTTATAGGACTGTATTTATAGAGCCAGCGCTGGCTCACTTATAAATAGATTAATGGGAGGCTAAAATTAATGGACTTGTGAGCTGCGCGTTTAATTTCTAAGGCTTCAACATGATAGACAAGCGCCCTGGAAGACCTGGCGCAAGAGGCAGCTTGTGTTGGGGAGTCCAGAGCGCCCTCGAGAAGGGGCAGATCCCATTGGGCCCGCATTTCTCTGGTGGCTCTAAGCTCAGGCCGCCCTGGGTCCCTAGGAAGAGATCTCACGGGGCCCTTATTTGCACATGAAGAAAAAGAACGTGGCCTCATAAAAAAAATAATGGGATCTTCCTCCTCGCATTATTTTTAACCAGGGCCCTTAAGCCCCTAATACCGGCAGGCAGGCCGGCTTTGGGAGAACTGTAAACAGCTTGCCCGCGTGGGCCGCCTCCAGGCAGGCAGGGGCAGCAGCCACACTTCTCCCAGGTCACCTAGGGTCCCCGCGCTGGGTCCACTGCTGCAGCTCTTTCCTCGCCCCCTCTGCAGCCAGATAAGACAGTAACAAAGAGGCTGAGGAGCTCAGACAGGCAGCCCGGGGCCCTTCTGTTAGCCAAGGCTGTCTCCGGCTTTCCGACCCTTTCCTTCCCTTCCCAATTTTTCCTTCCAGGTCTTTCCTCTAGATTTTTGTTGTTGTTGTTGTTGTTCCCCCCACCCCTCTCCCCCCCTTACATTCAGGGACCTCGGGATCTTGGGTTTTACCCAGTAAAGGTGATTGTCACCGATCCTCTCCTTGTCCAGTGGTGATGGGTAGGGGTGAGGGAGGTCTATAATTTACCTGTGGGATAATAGATGGCAGGTCTGTTTCTCCCAAGCTAGAGCTAAACTTTATGTAGAGACATTTGCCATGGGATATGGAAATTACTCACCACCCTCTTTGTGTAATCCCCGTGGTAACCAAACACTCACTCTCCAAAACGCAAATGAAAAGGAAGCTCAATACCGTTGAGCCAGAGACATAGATTTACACCTATATTCTTTCTAGATGAATGGATTGCACGCCTTCTTTATCACACTTCCCTTGGTGTTTTTTTTTTCCTTCCTTCTACTTCCCTTCCTTTGGAGGGGGGTCTTTTCTTTGATTCAATCATGTATAGCTCTAGCCATGATGCACCCCCCTTTTAATTAATAAAGAAGACCTGGAGTGGGGAATCTCACATAAAGTAGATTACATGGCCCCTTCTGTCTTTCCCTATAAGGAAGTCCAACTGGGAATGATTACCTGAAAAACACAAAATTGATACAGGAGGCATTTTATTAAATAACTGAGCACCAACTATATGTGACGTACTCTCATACCCTGAGCTTATCAAGATTTAACTTTGCCTATTTTCCTCAAATGCATATGCATACTGCTTTTTCTGCTTTTAATGATTCGGCAATGTTGATGTTGGAAAGGACCTTAGGAGGCCCACATTTTATAGATAAAGACCTTGAGTTACAAAAAGAAACAGTGACTCCTCCAAACTGTATAACATCTTGGACGACTTTATTTTCCTAGCCTCGGGGAAGACGCCCAAGCCTTGGGATGGAATACAGATTGAGATGTTTGATCACTGCAGCCCATTAGGACTGGGCTGCAGCCCATTAACCCAAATGAGAAAGGCTCTGGCTTCTCTAAGCCTCTGAGCCTAAGGTAGGAACCAACCTCCTAAGACAGCTCCGCCTTTGGTCCTCTGGGTCAAGGGTCTTTTTCCTCATTTGTTTATGGAGGGCCTTGCACTGCTTATGAGGTCAGGGTTGGGCTCAGTCCTGAAGTAAGCCAGTTAGCTCCTCCAGATCCCAGATCCCAGGGTTTTGGGGTGCGGCAGTCCATACCTGGCCCTATGGGCATCTCTCGTGAACCCTCTCCTTCAAGGAACACTGTGCCAGACGCTGTACTACTAGCAGTGAGGAGAGGAGCATCATCTTTTATTTGCACCCAGAGCCCCTGTAGGTGCTGAGACATGTCACTAAATGTACGTATTAGGAAGTTTGACGCCTCATTCTTTAAAAGGGCAAAATAAAGCAAGAGATACCATTAACATGAGCTTTTATTGCAACTTGGTTAGAAATAGGAGAGAAGAGTGTCAGTTTGGAATTTTAAAACACCTCCACTGAAAACAAAAGTGTCAGTTTTTCTGAGAAGCGAAATTTATTGTATTTATGATGTAACAAAGACATTGCCTGTGTTTTGGTGAGGGGAGGACAAAAACCTCTTGGCTAGGGTTGGGGTTTTCTGTCTGTTAATTTCTGAATTAAACAATTTCCATATTCAAGAAACTGAGGATGAAAACACAACAAAAACACAAAGATCTTTTTATTTATGTAAATCAGATCAACACTGGACAATAAACCAATTTCTACCCATTACCATAACAGCTTGTCTATAAAGAACAGAAAAAGTCAGATAGGATTCTATCTAGGGTCAAGCGGGTTTTTTGTGTTTTTTTTTTTTTAACCACCCATTCACAGAGGTATAGATTCACAGATAAATAATCCCAAACTACTTGCTCGCCATATTTACACATTCCCATTAAATTAAGCATAAATAAATATATACAAACTTAACATGGACACCCTCCCGCGCTCTTCTCCTGAAGAGTCACCAGATTGAAGTTATGTGGCAAAAACTATCTTAGTGAATTAGAGACCAACTCAGCAGAGGAGTCAATTTTGACCTTTAAAGAATAGTTCTTGTTCCGCTTTTAAAAAGAAAACAAAACTAATTTTGATATATTTTTTTCTTTTCTTCCCCCTCCCCCATAATTTAACAACATCAGCACAGGAGGGAAAACACTGTGTGGGCTCTTGAGGCAACATCAGACGGTTTAAGGTTATTTCCTTTCCATGTAATGTATTACCCTTCCAGGATATCAGATGTGATGACAAATTCTCTCTAAACACTCCGAGGAGGAACAGGTTGCCATTTTAAGTAAGGCTTTGTACCGGAGAGACCGTGTGTAGGTAAGTTTGGGGTTTCAGGTTTTCCATTCGACCAACGTTTTCTTAGGATATGAAGCAATTGCTCGAGAGAAAGTAGTTTCCGTGGCCAAAGAAAATAAAACAGCCCCCAGTCTCTGAAAAGCCTCTTCGGTTCTTTATGTGGGGGGTGGAGAAAGCTAAGGTTGTGGAGCCAGAGAGGGGGAAAGAAAGTTCAAGATAATTGGGGCAGGGCAGGGGTGGGGTACCTTCCGAGTTTGGGGGAGAAGTTCAAGATCACTTTGAGATGGGAGGCTCACCCAGAACCAGAGCCACTATTTGCGGGGCAGGGGGGAAGTGCCCCCCGAGACTGGAAATTCCTATAGGAAGAGACAGGTGGACGAGAATGGTGGGGGGGAAATCGTTAGAACCTCCAAAGGAACTTGCAAAGTGGAAAGTGAGGGGCCGAGGGCTGCGTCCTGACTGCTCCTTTCTATCTTTAGCGCTTTTGGTTTTGGCCCGAGCATCAGGGAGGGGGCCAGGGCCTGATAAAATTGTCTAGAGAGGGTAGGGTGGGGGGAGAGCTGCAACTCACCTGTTTGGTTTGAAAACAAAACTCAGAAAAGCTCGCTTTAAAAAAAGGCAAACTCTTGAGTTAATCCTGTTTATTGATTTATGGGCCCAAGGAAACCCAATCTTCTAATAACTCAATTATCAGATAAACATAGCGGGCCTGGCTAAGGAAAGCAAGGGGGCGGCGGGGTGGTACACGAAAGAAGTGCAAAAGGGCGAGGGGGCCAGGGCTGTCTCCACCCCGGGTTGGGGGCAGAGGAGACGCGCATCCAGCCCTACTGGGCGGGGCGTGGGAGGAACTTGGGAATGAGGGTGCAGGACCACGCAAGCCTGAGCAGCCAAGTAAGACCATTCCTATTCCATCACCCGCTTCTGGAGCCTGAGGATGGAGTTTTCGTCCTAGCAAAGGTGGGGGAAACTCCGGTTCCCTGGACAGTTCTAGGCCACTCGCCGCCCTGCAGGAGCAGGCGCTCAGGGTGGCCGCTGGGAGCAAAGCGCCTAGGCGGTGCTGAGACCCCTCCCCGCCTGCAGCCCCCAGGACGCCTCCCCATTACCTACTGGAGAGTGGGGCTATCTCGGTCGCCTTAGCCCTTAAGATGAGACCGAGAGCGGGAAGGGCCCAGGCGGCCCGCGGCCCCTCCAGCGGCTGATTCTATGTCCTCAACACGACTGGGCGCGAGTGGCCCACGCGCTCTCAGGACCTGCACAGTAAGAGCAAGGCGCGTCCATCGCGTCTCTCGCACGTCACACGCGTGGGGCGCGTTGCCCTGCAAGGAAAGGAGACGATGGTTTTCAGTGTGGTTTCTCCTGGCCTTTGGCAATAAGAATACATCTAATACCAGCGGCCAGGCCCTCGGACCAAGGCGCAGGCTTCTGAGCTGGGGAGAGATGGAGTGTCTACATGACGCTCCCTAAGGTCTAGTTCCCGGCCTTGGTACTCCTAACACGCTTCTAGGGCTGAGCCCCCCGAAGGAGCTGGCAGTGTCACATTAACCCTTGCTTGGGCCCTCCTGGTGACCTGAAACTAGCTCCCTAACTCCCTCCCCCATAGAAAATGTCTACGCAAAGCTCCCAGCAGCTTCCTAAACCCAGCCTTTCAACCTTCCGAGGCCAAGACCCACCCTGGCGGCAGAACTGAGCGTCCCAGAGGGTCCTAACTGGAAACCCCTTATCTTCAAGGAATGTAGCAAACGTCCTCAAGCCTACTTTGTATAAAGAGGTGTCTGTATGATACTAAATTCAGAGAACTACCTCACCCACCCCTCCCCAGGGGACTTCCCACCGCTTTTGGGAGGGTGGGGACAGTGGGTTCCAGATCTTATTTCCAGATAATGCGCAGATAAAACTCAAGAAAGGAGAGGGGCTGCCAGGAGAGAGAGATCTTAAATGCATGAAACTGTATCCACTGGGCATAGCCCCAGTGCTGTATATCCAGACGGTGAAATTCAAAGCGGAGATACATTTCCTTTCACTCTGCATTATTTTAGCATCATACACCAAAACAAGTGCACGCCTGGGAGAGGGAGAGTGCCTCATTCATAAAGCATCTTGTAAGAAAGCAATTGTTGCTGAAACCTGGGAGCTTGCCCCCACTACTCCCCACGACATTGCCAAAGCTGCTTCTCTGCCCGCTAACATAGCAGTTGCCCAAGAGCCCAAGGAAATAGAACCCATTTTAAAGGCAGGGCAGTACTGTTAAAATAGGGGGCTCCAAGAACCCTTACTCCTCTCCTCTAACAGTCATTTTGCAGTTCAGCCGTTCCACAGAATTCCGCAATGAGGTATCTGTTAGCAACTAGACTCAGAGCTGCTTCCATCTCTTATTGGCCACTTTCTAAATTATTCCCTTTGAGCTTCTTTAAAGAAGTGCCCCTGCAGAATTCTGACACACAGGCTTTGATTAAAAAGGGATCGGATTTTTTTTTTTTCTCTGTACCTTATAGATTGTGTAGGAAGCCCCAGTCCTCTTTGAAGAAGCTCATAAACCATGCGGGCAAAGCTTTGGAAAACAGAAGAGAATGAAATGGTACATACCCCTCCGAAGGAATTACATACTAATCAACGTATTCATATTGTGGTGTGGGTTTGTTTTTTTCTTTTTACTATTATTCTTAAAATTGGTAGATGACACAAATATAACAAATGCAAGATTCTCTGTCTGCCGATGCTGGCAAGGCTGGGAACTAGTAACATTTCTGAAAAGAACTGATGATGAGTCTGAATCAACCTATTGGTCCGGATTTGGCTCAGGGCGGGTACCAGAAGCTGCAGCCACCGCCGCCTGCATCTCCGATGGCCTCCCACCCCGCCCGCCCTCGCCCTCCCTAAGTAGGCAAGCGGCTGGCCCGGAGCCGGCACCGGTGAGTTTGAAACGCGGGGCGGGGCAGGGGGGCCTGAAACACAATGCAAAAGTCCTAACCGTCTCGTTCATCCCGGCAGACTCCCGTGATAGCTCGAGGGAGGGAGGGAGGGCAGAATAGAAAAGGGTAGTTGGGAGAAGGGCGAGGTGAGGGGGGAAGGGCGGGGACTCGCGAGACAGTTTCCTAAAAATATATCAAAAATTAAAAAGTTCGTGCGATTCAGTCAACCAGCTGTCAAAGCACTGACACCAACAGTTTCTCCGATTTTCTTCCAATAAGTTAGCGTTTTCTCATGTTTAGTCTTATGTTTATTTTTCCAAAGGGGGTGGGGGTAAAAACATGGTTTTCTTTTATTATCAGTATGACTAAGCTCGAAAAGAACCGAAGTGGAAAATCCGGACGGTTGTCTCCAAGTGTATCTTGCAATAGACACTGAGAACCGATACTGTTGCTCCGTGGAACGCCTCAAGTTTTAAGTTACTTAGCTGTTCTGTTTTAATTTTGATTGCATATGTATTCTACCTAATATAATTCTTCCAAAGCCAATCCAGTATTTTAAAGCTAAAATTAATTTTTTTCCTGTTTTCCTTTTGTATTTAAAACATTTTTTTTCCTTTTTTTTTAATTTTTCATTTCCTGTGTTTCTCCTCCTTGTCGCCAGTTTTACTACCTGGGCCTTCCCCAGACGTGTGCCTGTTAGTGGCGGTGTTGTTCAAGAACATCTTGTCCATGCCTTTGAGCGCCTCGGTGAGATAGTTCTGCAGGGCCGTGAGCGCCGCGCAAATGGCCGGGGCGCCGAAGCCGTGCGTGATGAGGCTGAAGTGCGTGAGGCAGCTCTGGATCCCCGGCTCCAGGATGGGGCTGGGCCGGCTGTTCCCAATCGGCGTCCGGTCCTGCGCCAACAGATCTGTAAATTCTTTACAAAGTTGCCTGCAAAGGGGTGGGAGAGGAGCAGGAAAAAAAAAAAAAAAAATCACCCTTCGTGTCGTTGTCATTGACATTAGAAAGGAGATGCTCACACAAGCCCAGAGGCGCCCGGTCACCGTAGAGCCAGCCGGGGAGCGAGGCTAATGTGAGCGATTCCGCTCTGTTTCCTTTCCCAGCGCTCGCCCTTCTAGAGCAGCTGGGACTGGAAGGAAAGCGGGGGTGGCGAGAGTGTACACCCCTTGCATCCCACCGCCTATCTTCCCCCCACCCCCTCCCTGCAGCCTCCCCCCCCCCCTTCGTTCCAGGACTGCGTAACTGCTTTGAGAAATCTGCTAGGCTTTAGCGATTGATTTTGAATATTCAGCCATTTTTAGCTCTCACCTGGCTGTTCTTTTAAAAACCCTTCCCCCCTCCTTTTCCCTGCCTCTCCAACCTCTTGGTTATCAGGCTCAAAAAGCCCTGAAAGATTTCAGCCCCTGGGCCACACGCCTGTCCCTGGCACAGAAGCAGATTGCTGGAGCCTTGCATGGCCCAGGGCAAGCAACTGTTTATTGCAGAAGAGAATGCTGATTCCGTTCAAAGCAAAAATCTGTTTACCTGCAGTATTTGGGAAGGGAGGTATTTTTCCAGCCCCCCCCCTTTTTTTCCTTTCAAGTGTGAGTGACTGAAAACCTTTGTACAACACAATTGTCGTCAATATAAAAGGATTCCGACACTGTTTAAATAAATCCTAAAGGTAGATGGTTAAGACACTGGGAGGGGTAGATTTTTATTTGTTGAAGGTTTTTTCTTTTTATTTCCTCAAGGCACCTACAATTTAGAGGAATCTCCCAGCCTTAAAAACCCTGTGGGCCTCACTATAGATTGAGCTTATTTGAAAAATTTTATATATAGGAGGTAGGCAGGAGGATTTTAGCCCAGCAGGTCCCATGGCTTGGCTCTGCTGGCAGTCAGAGGCATGGCGTCCAAAGGCCACAGCCTTTTACCCACTGGCAGGCTCATTCCATCAGCCTCATTCCTCCACCACAGCTAGCCAGAGTGGTGAGAAATGAAAAACGACAGAATTCCAGCCCCAGGCCCTCTTGGGATAACCTGACACCTGGTGACACCTGGCCTGGCCACCAGGTAAGGCAGGCAGGTACCTGGAGGCTAATGGGAGTGACCCTTGGGCGTCCCCTCCCAGATTACCCCCAGGAGGAGTAATGTCGAACCTGGGTGGAGAATACCTCCCCCCCCACCCCCCCTCCCCCCATATGAAAGGTTTTTTTGTTTTAGGGCTGGTGGCTAGAGAACACTAACAGACATCCTCTCTCCACCCCTTTCTTCTGGTTCCTCCATTCAAAATGCACACATACATCCTCACACCAAAGAAGAAACATGTACCAGTTCTGACCTAAATAGGGCCGTTCTTAAACCCGAGGTATCCCAGAAGCATCGTGGGGTTCAAATGAACACCCACTGATTCCAATTCAGGGGGCTTTGGGCTAGGCCCACACACAAAAATATCTTGATACATTAAAGAAAAAAAAAAAGGAAAAAAATATCTTGATAAAGCTCCCAGATGGTTCTGAGACTCACCCCAGATTAAGAAGTGCTGGCCTAAGAGAAGCCACAAGGGGGGGGGGGGGAGTTCCAAGCATTCCTTAGGGAGGTGGCAGAGTGGTTTGTGGAATCCTGTCATCGAATTTATACTTTTCGTTTTACCCCCCCCCCCCCCACCGGCCCCAGGACCTTTACTCCTTTGTAAAGCACACTGGTCACCCACCACCAGACATAAGGCAAGGGGTAGGAGGGCAATTTACTGACAAAGATCTATTCTATTGCTACTGTTAGTATCAGAGGAAACCCTTCTAAAAATAGGGTGGGTGCCAGGTTTTGATCTTTGGAAGAGATGGTTCAAGTCTTTCCTTAAGTTTGTACTCATTACCGAAGTGCCAATAAGGAAATTCTGAACTGGGGAGAACAAATGCTTAAAAGTCAAACATTTTCCATCTTCAAAGCCCAAACCAGGGTCTGTAAGCAATTAAAGTTCTGGGACATTAATATTTTTTGACCCTGCGGAAAGGGGCAATCAAATTCCAATCACGTCTCAAAAACATCTGGACAAATTTGAGCAAATGATTTTTCAGCCTTCCATATATTTCTTTAAATTACGCTGTCAACGGAGCAAGCCGCGTCCTCCAGCGCTAAATAAATGAGCGCGCCGCTTGGGCCGCGCCTGCGAGAGAAACGTGCGCGCGCACGCAGCGCCGCCCACTGCAGGCCTGAGCCGGCCATAAAACACCAACAATATGACACGGAAGCCAAAGACGGGAGTAAATCAAATAAATAGAAAACCCACTGTAAAAGTTCAAATGAGCTCTAGACCTAAATTTAGCCAGAGATTTACTATTTTCCCCTCTGGAGCTGTAGTAAATTTAACGTCTCTGGAAGATGCCAAACAGCAACGTTGGAAAGAGAGTAATTAGAGCTGCGGGTAGAGATGGGCACACGTGGGGGCCACACAGACACCCTGAGTGAGCACACGTGGCTGTGTGGATATGGCAGGGAGGGGTGAAACCCAGGCAGAAATGTGCACATCGGGATCCGGGGAAGAACTGGAACAAGGACCCACGGAGAAGAGATCGGCCTGCTATCCCCAGGGTTGGAGAAGAGAACTCTGAAAAGCCTGCATTCAGAAGCCTAAAGCCACCCTCCCCAGAAACTTGGAAACAGAAGAGACAGAGGCTACCCCAAACCCACAGCCCATAATTAACAGGGGGAGTGGAGAGGGGGAGAGGGGAGGGGTAAGGGGGAGGAGGGAACTACCGGCTGAGCAGGGAGGGCTTCCAAGCCTGCAATACACAGGCTGCCAATCAATCCTACTTGTATGGCTGAGCACTTTCTCTGCCCAAAAAAAGGTCTGCCCTGCCCCCCTCCCCCCCCAAGCCAGGTGAAGTCAGGGATTTGCGACACTCACTTGGTGGCCAGCAGCATATTCTTTCGGGAGTGCAGGTCGCTGGGGTCTGTGTGCTGCCGGTTCAAATATTCAGAAACAGCTTTGGCGGGAAACTCTGTTTCGCAGATGTAGCCAAAATCCCGAGCTAAATGAACAGCTTCTCCTGCAAAAGCAGCAGCAGCAAAGGTAATCATCAGCACCCAGCCTCTCATCCTGCCGGGGCAGGAGGGGCTCCCTAGGAGGTCAATTCTTATTATTTACAGAAGAGGCCAGCTGTTGGGAGGCAAAAGCAAAGGTGTGACAGATGCCTGAAGTAAAAATGAGTCTCAGGCTGTAATTGACTTGATGGAACAAACTTTGCTCCTGCCTCTTTTTTCCAGTCTCTCCCTGATTATCCTTGCAGCCATTTCTTAGTTAGATATTCCCTGAATAGCTTCAGGGCCTCCACATCCCATGCTTTGTCTTAAGGAAAAGCTGGGCCGATATATTCAGAAGCCACTTTACAATTGCCCATAGACACTAGGTTGGATATTCAAGATAGATACCACTCTTCTTAGTAGGATTATACCATTTTAGATAAATATAAAAGTCTTTCCTATCTTTTGTGTTACCTTTTCCACCCAAATCCCTGTCTTGGGTTGAGATTACTATGACTGCTTTTAAAAATGACGATACTTGTATTAGGAAAAGTCTCTTATTAATAACCAATATATACAAACACAAATCATGTGTGCAGATATCCACATATATTAAAGATGTCCCATATGGAACATTAAAGATGTTGTTCCATATACATTTTACACAAATGAGTATTTCTATCCAGCAATGAAATATTTATTTTCTGTGTCTGTTTCTAGCTACTTAGTTTTCCGGTTTCTCCTCTTCAGAGGTCCCTGTTATCGTCCTTCTACTTAAGGACTTTCGACTGCACAAAGGTGACAGGGCAGCTATAGAAAACTTTGATGTCTGAGAGGTCCCAGCTTCTGTGGAAGCCCCTCTCAAATAAGGCATTATCACCCTTTAAAGCACAGCCTTAGGGGTTCGAGGGAAGATCCCAAACATGAAAAAGAAATACACTGAATTCTCCCATAGCCACATTATTTTTAAGAACCATGTCTTACTTTAATCATCATTATGACAGTAACAACAAAAGACCAGAAATGGTGCTTGCAACAATTCAAAAAACTGAAAACTGCCAACCAACTGCTGGAATTTCAGTTCCACCCTTTTCCACCCAAATCCCTGTCTTGGGTTGAGATTACCATGACTGCTTTTAAAAATGACGATTGTGATATTACCCATTCACTGAAGGGCAAAAGTAAACCCCCCGGGCTGAGAGTCAACCACTAATAAATGTGGTCTGGATATTTGGTGACTGTTGCCAGTGGAGGGTAAGTTTGGGCCAGGCAACTTTGCCCTAAAGCTGGCAAAGTGTGGTGCCTATAAATATGATGACTTTATGGTTGCTACTTACATAGTCTAAGACCCTGTCCTCCAAAAACCAGTTCCCCACATGAGTGTCATAATCTAACACCCATGAAAATAGAAGGAAAAACATACATGTTAGCCTCTAGACAAAATTCTACAACTTCCCCCATTAGGACCATCTGGATGTATTTCCTGTCCTTTCCTCATCCCACAAATTCAACAGCAGATCCTCTTGTTCTAGACTTCAGAAGATCCTTTTTAATATATATCATAAATATCACCCCCAACCCCAAAATGATGAGCAAATAATAATGCATTTGTTGTAATTATGTTCATTAATTCATAACTGATGGATCTATATTGAAGATCATACATGACTCCCTTCCATGTTTCCTCATGCCCCACCCAATTCTCTCCTAGGCCTTACTAAGCTGTATTTCAATAACAATAAGTCCCATGTAATCAATCAGCAGGAGATAGGGCCCTGGGAGTTTAAAATAACCATTGAGAATTATGAACGTAATAATAGTTTCATAACTAGACAATGTATTTGCTACTCCTGATTCAGACGTAAAATCTGGGAAGGAGAAGGGGTATAGAATGGATTGCTATTTACAGTGACTCTTGCTAGAGTTCAGAGGGTATTTCAGACACTCTGCCCTGCACCTGGCAGCAGAGGTGATCCCTGCACTGGCTTGGAAGCTGAACCTGAGTACTCTTCACAGCACAGGGACCCTTATAGACCTCCAGTGGCCTCTCTACAATCGCTGGCTCCCTCTAAGTAAAAAGACCTTTGAACTTCTCTCTCCACCAGTCGCTTGACATCCACTCATAAGGGCACAACAATTGCAATGATTTCCAGTTAATCATGAAATGTGTAAAATGTCAGCCTTCAGCCGACAGTTAAGCTCAGCCACTTCGTGAAATGGCCACACGTCTTGCTTACCTTCCACCAGGGAGGTGAGTAACGTGACATTTGCTGCTTTGCGCCTGCCCGCGGGTAAATTCAAACCGATTTTTTCTAGCCTTTCCCGCAAAGATCTCCCCCCATTTTTCGATTTGGCTCTGAAATTGCAAGAATTAACATTCTGATTAACCTCGGAGTGTTCCTGAAACAAAGTTTAGACTTAGCAATCTAAAGCCCAGTGGAGCTTGAAGAGGTTTTAACTTGAGGTTAGCACATTTCCCCCCTTCCTTTTGGTTATTTGCTGACAGTTCGCTGAGGTTTGCTTAATTTCTGCAATACAGGGCATAAAAAAAATTGCGCATTTTCTTTTTTTTATCTCATGAGGAAAAAATGATAGCAGATGGGAATAATTAGGGTGTAGGTTGTGGGTCTAGAGAAGGTAGATGTTGCACACACTCAAGCTCTTTCCTTGTCACAGAGCCAGTTAGGTGAGCAGAAACTGGGCGAGCACAGCCATGCAGAAAAGAGGAAAGAACTGGGTGGTTTAGAGAGGAGGAGGCACTAGCTGAAACAGGTGGGCTTTGCAAGGAAGGGGTCAAGAGTTGCTATAAGCCCAGCCAGGTGTGGCTAGTGGTTGAGCATCTTCGACCCAGGAACCTCCCACTCAGGGCATATGCCAGGGTTGCCGGCTCAATGCCCAGTGTGGGGCAACCAATCAATGATTCTCTCTCATCATTGATGTTTCTATCTCTCTCTCCCTCTCCCTTCCTCTCTGAAACCAATAAAAAAATATATATATATATCTTTTTTAAAAAAGAGTCACTATAAAATGGAATTGGGTTAAAAGGGGAAGGAAGATAGAAACATGAAACTAATGGTGATGCTAATCATAACAACAGTAAAACTAACACTTTAGGGAGTTTAGTTATGTGCTAAACACTTTATATTATCTCACTTAATCTCATAGCAAGTTTTATACACACACGCTTAAGGCCTGGGGGTGATTGAAAGAAACTTCCACACTCTGGGGCTCAAAGGACTCACTAGAAAACTGAACCGAAGTAGAGCACAGCTAGAGGATTCAAAGTGAGAAAAGCCCGCAGTTCACACCCTTAGTTCCTCCCAAGGCTCTCCCTGTACCTGCTAAGGTATGGGCAAAAACACAAGAAGAGAACCGGTTACTCTGACCTCTCTTGCTATTCCCTCAGCCACTTTTTGGAAAGAAGGGGGCCACCAACCCCTGAAATGGGCTAACCCGGAGAAGTTCGCCTCATACAATGTCACCTTCGCGTCAGTGCCATTACCAAAGGGTTCAGGCCTTGGCAGGGACTCTGGGGGAGGCTTTACATCTTAAGATAAAAGCCACCTCAACTTTCCACAAGGAGCCTATGGATTGTCTTCCTCCACATTAGGGCGTATCTTAATGGCCCCAAGAAATAACTATTGATACTTCTAAAGGGGTGACATTGTTATTATTGGTGGTAATATCACTGGGGAAAGAAGGTCACAAGTCTAGAACAAAGTGTTCCAAACTGTGGGGCACAGTGCACTAGCGGGTTGTGACCAACTTAGACGCCAACTGCATTTTAATCAAAATAGAGAGATTGATCAGAGTACCTTGCAGGTACGAAGAGGGTTGCTCTGTGAAACTTCTGTTTCAGACAAGTGTGTGTAGCTTTCAGGTCTCACTCGGGCTGCATGCCCGGGAAGTGTCCTGAGGCTAGGAGCGAGCCGGACGCGGGCCAGGGCTGGGAAAGTGGAAGGTTCCCAGGGTCGAGCACCCCGTGGCGGAGCAAGGCAGCGCGGACCTGCAGAGCGTGAGCCGAAGGAGGCGATTGCGCCCCCGGCCTCACCACGTGCGGCCTGCAACTCCTCTCGCTCCGAGCTCCGGCCGCCCGGTTGCTAAGCAACCGCGTCCAGCTTCCCAGAGGTTTTGGCGCGAACCCTCTCCCCCTCGCCCCATAATAACTAGCGTGGGGGCGTTTTACCTCCTGAGGACGCCGCCGAGGAGAGACGCATTGAGGCATTCGGGGGGCGAGAGCCGTCTCTGCACTTCCCCCACAGTTACTTTGTACTTTGAAGTGGAACTGAGCAGAGACAAACGGCCGGGAACCGAGCAAAACACCTCGCCGGTGTTGACGGACATGCCTCCCAGGAAGCCATCTTTATTCATCATCAGAGAAGTCACAGATTTGGGAGGAACCGGAACTAGAGAGAGAGAGAAAAAAAATATATGCCATAAAGGTGACCGGGTTTCGATCCTGGTGACCGGCTGATAGAATGTGTCCGTGCGTGCGCAGGGCCCAGGCCACAGGACGCGCGCTAAGCGGAAAGCGGGAGGAGGAAGTGTTTGTGGCGCTGCGGTGCGTTCAGAGCACTGTGTACCAGCAAATGGAAAAGCCGCCAGTCCTCTGGAAATTTACCCCGTGTGTGCAGACAGAGGAGTGTCGCTGGCCACGGCCCCCTTCGTTACATACACACATAAAGACGCAACCCAGAGTTTGGATTGTGCTAGGGAACCGGGAAAATCCTATTCCATACTGGCTTGGTGACCTTAGACATGTCACGGAACCTCTCTGAATCTTGCCTGGTTTGAAGCTTGCCTGGTTTCTTCTTCTGTCTCCTGAAGGTGAATTGTCACTCTCCATGATATAAAATGGTAATGCAGTGGGGCCCTCTCTCCTCTCCCGCTGGACCCAAATCCTGGTCATCACTGGAGAGGATCAAAAGGGTGGGCCCCATCAGGTGCTGTGCCCAAGACCGACCAAGTAATAAATACCATTAAGCTGGGGAGGTGGGCCCCAGAGTTGCTCATTTCTCTAAAACGAATCGCATTCTTTCCTACATCATAACAGCAGATTCATTTAGAAATGAACCCAAATGCTCCTCTCCAGTGAAAGCAATTCCGCAGTGACATGAATTTTGTTTACAAATTAACATAAAGCACCGGCTGTGATTGTTTGGAGCCCTTATGATTTACAACAGGTGCCCTGATCAATCAACCAATCACTCTAATTCATGTGAGCTGCGGTCTTGCCTTGCCCCAGTTGTTTCATTTCGGCAAGTAATTGATAACAAACCGCACTCAAGGTATGTTTTATGCAGAAGTTAATAAGAGCTGACAGCTGGTTGCCACTGCTACCCAGGCGCACTCAGTGTCTCCAGCCTGTATTTCTGTTTAATTGTCTCAGTGTCATCTGCACCCCAGGCAGAGGCGGGGCTCAGCAGAACCAGAAGGCTGGGAATGAGGAACAGTGAACGGTCAACCACCCAGTTCACTGGCACTCTGGCTCCCTTGGACTTCCACACTGCCGAAACCCATTTGCTTTCTTCAAGCTCTAGAAGCCACTGTGCAGGCGGCTTCTCCCGACCTGCCCTACACCTTAGCTTCTTCCATTGGGTAAGGAGGCTCCAAATATTCAAGCAGTATTTGTTCATCACCAGTCCAGGAAATTTACTGAAAAGGGAGGCTTCCGTTCCCCCTCTTTAATAAGGACCTGTCTCACCCTGTAATCCTGGTAGTAGAAAGAAATGCTCTTTCTGCCATCGGGAGCCTAGAACTCTACATGTCAAACAAGTTGTATAATTTCCCTGGTATCGAACAGACTAACCAGCACAATATTTTGGTAACAGCTTATTCTCTGTATCACAGATTCCAGCATTCAGACCTTCATGATTATTTAGAGCAGCGGTTCTCAACCTGTGGGTTGTGACCCCTTTGGCGGTCGAAGGACCTTTTCACAGGGGTCGCTTAAGACCATCATGCATATCAGATATTTACATTACGATTCATAATAGTAGCAACATTACAGTTATGAAGTAGCAACAAAAATAATTTTATGGTTGGGTCACAACATGAGGAACTGTATTTAAAGGGCCAGAAGGTTGAGAACCACTGAGAGAGCCTCCTAAAAGCCAGTTAGGTCCCAAATCTTTCATTTTCTATGAATTGTATTTGGCCCTTTACAAAGGTTTTGTGGAAGGGGGCTTTCCTAGGGCAGTGGGTGTAGGACTGAAGCATTCCCTTCTGCCAGTGCTTAGCAGATATTTTTGAATTTCTGGCTCTGTCCACAGAGTCCAAGACCTTATCCCAGGGCAGATGAATGATGTCAGCTAGCAGAGGGGATCTTGTGCACTGACGTGGGGAGGTGGTGAGTTACAGAGGGACTTGCTTCTTTCTCATTCCCCTCATCATATTCTCATCAGTGATGCTGCTTCCCACTTAAGAGGGAGCCAGTAAAAAGTTGAAGTGTGAGTATTAATTAAATTTGAGTTAAATTCACTTAATAGACAGCGATTGGGATGGGACCATCTATCATTTAATTCTCTTATACAGCATCCACATGTTTTAATCAATCTTGTTCCTCACAGCAGTTCCGATTTCCATATGTCAGATTCATATTCAAGCATTATAAACAAATAAATTATGATCATGGAAACTGACATTAGATCACCTTGGAAAACTTTCCCCCAAAATACAGATTGCCCTTTGTATTTTGACATGGTATGAGCTGTAGAAATAAACTGTATAAAAAATCTCACACTTGCTACTCAGCAATATTTTCATATTTAAATACTACTTAGAATATTTTAACAGAAGAAACCCCACTCATCTAAAAATAGTAAGTTCAGTTCCTAGTTCCTGGATAACTGAGTATCTCCTGAGGACTGGAATTGTACCTGCTTCTCACAGCCCCAGATGCCAGATCTCTTAAAGAGCCAGGCCTTTAGAGACACTTTATAACTTGCCCTCTAATTTCACTATTGTTAATTGCCTGATTTACCTGACAAGAGCTATTTCCTTTGGGGAATGTGTATTGCTCCCTCCCGTGGGCTGTACCTTCCTTTCCACATATACATTATCACCTAAATATCACCAATCCAGTCAGCTTCTGCCAGCACACTGCTGTCTGGGGGAGAAGGGGGAGGAGTTTTTTGTTTGTTTTTATCCATAAACAACTATTTGAACAGACATGCATCAGATATTTCCATTTTTTAATTTAAGTGTCCGTCATAGTCCTATCCTGTATTTTCTCAACCTCAGGTTACAAACCTCTTTTCCACCGGGACCTCAGCATTGGTCACCTAGACTAGAGCCTATACATTTCTAGTTCCAACTTTCCTGTAACTCCATAGCACTGTTATCATCTACCTTCCCCTCCACTCTCACACCTGCTTAGCTCAGCTGATTAACCCCATATTTTATTCTTGGTCTTTTCCCTTCTGCTTTCCTCCAGTTTATCAATAAACCCAGGGAGCAACAGGGCCCGGTTGATTTGTTAGTAATTATGAGTACACTGTTCCTGCTCACGGAACCCAGAGATGACTAAGATAGGTTTAAAGCGACAGCAGGAAATGGTAAGGAAATGGAGCATAGCAAAACTCAGCACGAAGCTTTCAGTTCTTTACATGTTTACAATTTTCTGTGCATACATTAAAACTGTTTTGTGGTGTGTGTGTGTTTTTTCTCTCTTCAGTTCTCAGTTGCATGGCATGGCATGCAACACCCTCAAAACTTGCTCCCCTCCTCCCCTTTCCCTTGCATTATTTTGGGGAGAAGGAAAAGGTTTAAAAACTGAATAGTATTCCATTACTGTGACTGGAGTTTTATTTAAGAAAGAGGAAGAAAAATGATTAGAAGGAATATTATTTATTAGTGGACTATATAGAGCCAAAGTGTTAATAGGCTAGCTCTTAATCTGTATTCGTTAAACTTAAGTGTGAAATTGTAGCTTTTAGATCTTTGTGTTTGACTGGAAACAGACCCTCTTAATCTGATCTGCTGGGGGGGAGAGGGGGGAGGGAAGAAATAGATTCAAGGGCTAAGTCCTTCTGAAAGGTACATGGGCTTAGATATGTAAACTATACCAGGAAGCCTCCAAGAGATTGAGCATTGCTTGAAATAATTGCTTCTCACCAACAGAGCACCCCCTTTCCCTACACTTGCATTGTTTCTCATCTACCAGACGGCTAAATTTTATTCCAAATGTATATATAACAATTGTACAAAATGAGGACTGAAATCCTGGAAAGAAAAATAAAAGGATTCCCACAAAGAAAGCTGGAACATAAGAAAAGCTGCAGACATCCAGAGCTGGCACCCTTTAGGGACAAAGTCTAAAGAGGCTAGAAACTGAGTTGGGTCCCATGGCTTACTCGACGCGTGGGACCTCGAGAAAGTCATTGACCGACTCTCTGTGTTCCCACACCGGGGGTGGGGTGGGGTGGGGTGTGGAAGAAGCGCGTCTAACCTTCCCAGCTTTGAAATTCTATGCACTCTGATTCCTCCCTGGGTGGCTGGAATGTATCTCAGAGTTCCTACTTGAATCAAGAGGGATCCAAGTCAGCTCTGGAAACTCACACCTTTTCAGACTCTCAGTCCTTTTGAACTTTGAAATCTGCAAATTCTCTATTCTCCCCCACCCAAAAGAAAATCCGCACCAATCAAGGTGTTTTTGTGGGGAAGGGGCCAGAACTAACGGGGAAAAGGGAGAGAATGGAGGTTACACTGAAACTAACCAAACAGGATATCCCTAAGACCAACGAAAATGCCCCACAGTCACATTTGGACATTGGACTCCAGCCACACGCGCCTTTCCAAGAAATCCCAGCATTTTTTTCTGATGCCTAAGGTGTGTAACCAATTGCATATTGGCCTCTGATTGCACCAAAACCTTTTTCTTAAAATCTAGGTGAGACTTTTTTTTAAATTTGTCTGTAGGATGTTGGCAGTGATCATGGTATTAGCTGGGCACCCCCACCCCCAACCAGCCCAGATTCCCAATCCTAATGGAACTGAGAGTTAAGAATTATTTTTAATGTCTCGTTGGATTTTTAGACTGTTAATGTACCGAATCCTTCTCATTATTACTTTATTGATTGCTCATTGACCAGCCCCCTTCAAATCGTATTAACCACCCTCTGCCGGTTTAGATTAGGAGAGTTTAAAAAGCACCTTTCATTATTCCCACCCTCACCCCCCACTCCTGCCATGGAGTTGAGACTCTGAGACTTGGCAGCTTAATGGGAGCTCTAATGGGGCAGCTAAGAGGAGAGGGGCCACGGTCCCTGCCGACTGCATTAATAGCTCAAAGGGGGCCAATCCAGAAAATTAGCTGTAAACGAGCTCTGGAGATCCTCAAATGAAAGAGCCATTTATCACGCTGGCTACCTTCACTCCACTCGTTTGCTCTCTCTACTGGGAACAACTCATTTCCTCTTAACTAAATTACTTCAGAAATGTCAGCTAAGCCCAGATAGCAAACATAACGAGAGAGCTAGCCTATAATCTATGGGGTGATATCAACACGGCTGAAAAATTGGAGTGGTCAAATTTTAAAAGTGAGGTGTCTTTCCATAAGAGAGAGAGAGAGAGAGAGAGAGAGAGAGAGAGAGAGAGAGAGAGAGAGATCCTTTATACCTAAATTTCCTGGCTTCATAAACACAGGCAGAGACACCCAAACCTGGGCCAGTTGGGGCAATTTTACTAACAAGGTAGAATTTTTAAAAATCTCTTTAAAGGCCCATTAGAAAATAAATTAAGCAACCGAGTCCCCTGCCAGTTGTTGAAATTTAGAATACTTTGTTCAGAAAACTTTCTTACCTCCTCTTTTATGAAATTAATCTTTTGGAGACATCCCTCAAAAGGTGGGGGTTGGGGGTGGGACAAAGATGGAGACCAAAGAGCAGAGAAGGAGCTAATGAACTAACTCATAACCTTTTTTTAAGTGGTACATAGTAATTTACAAAAGCCAATCAACCACTTACTCATATTTCACCCATGACTCTCCAAAACTAAAAAATATGATATTGGGATCTTTTCTTCATGTAATAATAAAGCAAATACTTAAAATATTAAATAATGGAGTAAACCTAACACTTCCTATTCATACCACACCCCCTAAATCAATAAAGTGACAAGGGTGCCACTTAGATGTTTTAAGCTGCACATTATTTAAAAAAAACAAAAAACAACAACCTTTTAGGGCCATAACAAGTACTGCATGTTTCCAAAACAAAACCAGTATCTTTAGTCAATATCCTCCTTTTCTTATTCCTGAAGATACCTTCATGCATAAATATTCACATTCTGATGACAAACACATACAAGCCCTGAAAGGAAAGCCTCACACATCTGAGAATACAGTGGGGCCTTGACTTACGAGTGTCCTGACTAACGAGTTTTTTGAGATACCAGCTGTCTCTCGGCCGATTTTTTGCATTGAGTTGATAGAGTAATTTGAGTTAACGAGCTCCTTAACGAGCTCGGTCTCCGAACGAATTAAACTCGTAAGTCAAGGCCCCACTGTATGTTCAGCTCCCTTTGGTTAGGCAAGCTAAATTCCAATTATGTTTATTGGCCTGGCTATGAATAACATTTCTGATTGGTCATCGGTTGGCATGCCCCACTGCCAGCCCAAATGCTGCTTCTAGGATCTGGAACTCTTGAGCTAAGGATTCTGGCTTTCCATGAAAATGGATGGGAACTAAAACAGAAAGAAACAAAAGCAGCCAATGAAGAATTACACCTCCCATTCCCTCCCCCCCCATTAACCAGCAATTAACCAAAAGAGAAGACCCAAGAGGAAATGGTGAAAGTGAGCTGTCAGCACTGTTGCAAATCTAAGCAACCAGACACTGGAGCGAACCCAAAAGCTGGCATTAAAAACTGAAGAAACGATACTATCTAAAGAAGAGATGGAGAGATATTTAAAGCAACACTTAAGTAGTGTTGCCCCAAACCTTACTATTCTTCGTTCATTCCAAAGCCAAATGGCATCATTTTAAGCTTCCACCTCCCAGCTCCCACCTCTCAGAGCTACTTTCTCTGCCTTTTGTAAAAGAAATGTAGAATGCCTCACCCTTCTTGGAATCCTCACTTCACAACCCTCCTACTCTATCAGCTTGACTCTGGATTATTTTCCATAACATCTTTCATTGTTTTTGTGCAAGTCATGTGGCTCCCATGAATCATAAATGACTGAGGCTGGGGCTTGTTGACACCAAACAAGGACAGGTCTTCTCCAGCATAGATAAGAAAGGGTTACTGTAGTTAAAATTGTATCTCCAAACACCAGTTCTCGTGATAATTAAAGATCGTTCTGTTTACACATTCAAGCTCCTAAATCTGTGGCATGTGAGTGACATTGGGGCCCTGCGACAGCCACACTAATCGCCACGCGTTCTCTCAGTGACAGTCAGAGAAGAAGGGGAAAAATGAAGCAGCTGCAATACGCCCGAAATGAGTTATTGTAATTACATTTAATTAGTTTAATTAGTTAATTATTTTGCTTACAGCTGTACAAGAGACTGCAAACATTTGTTAATATCGCATGCCCTTTAACAGTATGGGGTGATTCCACAGTCACACTAAATCATGAACGCATATGTAGGAAGACTTAGAAATGTGCATTGGCTGGCTCGGCTTCTCAGGATGCGCATATTTAGCGACACATTTGGCACAATTAAACAAAATAAGGAACAACTCATAAAACACAGAGTCCTGGGAACAAACAGAGAACCACCGAAAAAACCAAATGCAAAAACAAGGAGAGAGGGCACTGTCTCAATGACCTAGGGTTTAGTTCAGCAAACTCCAGTTTCAATGAAATAATTACAGTACATTTTTGAAAGCAGTGTTTCCCAGCTAGTTCCATACATGATGGTAGTGCAATTATTTGAGAGAGTATTTAGAATTGCTACCAAATGTACCAGGAGAGAAATGGCAATAGTCTCTGTCCCTCTGTCTCTCTCATCCGGGTTTCTGCCTGCGGTTTTGTTTTTCCCTCCTCCCCCCATTTCCTTCTTCCCGACATGCCCTTTCACCCAGACAGCCGCTGTTCTGTAATTGTTAACAAACATTTGTGTCTTATAAAATAATGAATTGCCCAAAGTGAAAACTCATCATGAAGACCATGAATGCACAGGAGAACTCTGGTTACTTTTGGGGGGAAATATTCCATACCTTTTTTTATGACAGACTGGTCCAATAGATTCATGCCGCTGTTATTGGCATCTTCAACTGACTGTGAATATAAAAACATCACTATTCAAATTGACTGGATATTAAAGAATCGCACACATAAATCATGTCATTCCAAACTGGAGTGTCTGTTATTTCCATTTATATTAATTCACAAAGGGAGGTTTTATTATTATCATTATTATCTCCAAATCGACATCGAGATGAAATTCACCCAAATTATACATTCTTCCCATGAAAGAAGAGGAAAAAGGAAACTGGGAGAGTCATCTGGGATGTGGTATTGGTTCAGTTATTATATTCAACACAGACATTACATAGATATGTAAACTTTTCTATTATTTGCTCTTATGAATTGTGAAAATTTGGCAACAGCTGAAAGATTTCCACCAATATTAGTAAGAGCAATTTCAGTTTTCTATTCTATCCCTGCGCATCTTAACTCCAGAATCATTTCACAAATACATAACAGTTTACATTATGGGATTTTAATTAAAGTCTGAGCAATTTGGAATGGAATGCAAACAGCAACACATAGGAACATGTTTGCAAGCCCCCAGGACGGCACACCCACTGCAGTCCATACACATCCCGAGCACTGTGGCCTTCCTGCTATACGACAGTCCCTCCGAGGAACCTGCACAAGTTGCTCCCCTCTCAACCCAGCTGCCCAGCAGGAAGCACACCTGTTAGGAAGGCAGTCACTACAGATACACAGACACACACAGAGGCCCGGATGCTCCCAGTCAGCACCTGGCGATTGGCAAGAGCATTCATCTTCTGTGCCACAGTTTCATCCCCCCAGAAGGCAAGTTTCCACCCTGGGTGTTGGCAGCACTTCTGAGGGGAAATAGCTGTTGGAATGGGTTTCTCACTGTCTGGCTGTGCATCCCTGGGCCTCCAAAAGCAGTGGGTTCCCTTCCCTGCCCATGCAATGAGGATAAATGCTGGGTCCTTCTGAAATGGACAACTGCTTTCCTTGATCCACAGGAATCTAAGCTTGGACCAATTCGTCACCCATTGTACAGAGAAGTCCAAAGCAAAGGGCCCGGGAGCGAGGCGGAGTTTTTACAGCACCTCCCCACCTCCCTCCCTCGTGCGGCATCCCAGACAAGGTGTGTGCTCCTCACAGGGGAGAGACTGCCTGCCCCAAACAAGCAGCGCGTTCGAAACTAGAGATGAGATGATCTAATCGTGGAGGGGGCATGTTACTCTGTTTCTTTGGGTATTTAATAGTCACTCCCCCGTTCTCGGAAAGGTGAGGGAAATTGTTATTCTCAGTAAGAACCGTTTTTCCAAGTTGCAACATGCCAGGCACATCTTAAGAAATAGCAAAAAGCCTTTAAAAAAAACAAACCGACTTCATGGAACTTGTTGGAAACTCCTCAAGAGACCCCATCACACGCGCGGGCGCGCGCGCACACACACACACACACACACACACACACGATTCGCGGCTCTCTGTGCCCACGTGTCTACAGTGGCGACGTGTCCACGCAGGACCAGAGCATTCGCCTGTGTCCGGGGGCGGGCAGAGCCCGCGATCTCACGCGCCCGGACCAGTGCGCCCCCCACACCTCGCCCTCACGTCGGTACGTAAATATGTATATACGCCTCATCAGCGACGTGGGGTAGTTGTGGTAGTTAATGAGAAGGCTCTTGTCTGATTTTCTATCTAATTACGGCCGCCTGCTGGGTTTTTGTACAGGATATTCACGCAGCATGCTGGCGCTTAATCGTCACAGGGAGGATCGTAAAGATTTAATTAGGACTGCATGCGGAAGCGCAGAAAAACAACTCAGACTCGTAATTACTAGACTTCTTTAGTTAAAAGTGATACCAGGGGTTGCTTTAAGACACTGGGGTGTGTGGGAGTGAGTGTGTGTGCCTGTGTGTGGGGGGGTGCGCGTGCGCGCGCGTTGGGAGGTTTGACCGAACAGCCTCATGTGTTTATACTCATGGGTGGTAGAGGTGATGAGAGGTGAGAGAGCAACTGATGGGAAGAAGAAAAGAGGTGTTCCTGGTAACTAAACAAACTCCAAACGAGGTGTCATCTCAGTCCCTCTTTCTTTCTGATGCTGTTTGTTCTAAGTTTTTTTTTAAACACTGCCCCCCACCACCAACACACACACACACACACACACACACACACACACACACACACCGTGAAATGTAGCATACCCAGAACCCAAGCAGCGATTTGCTAGTTTAATAGCCCCTGTGAGTAAATTGAAATAGAAATTGACAGGGTTTTATAGTTTCATTTAAAAAAATATTAGGAGCATTTGGTTAATTAGCTCTCCTTCTCTCATGGTTGGGGCGGTGGCCATGAGTGTGTGTGTGTGTGTGTGTGTGTGTGTGTGTGTGTGTGTCACAACAGCCCCCCAACCCTTGGCCAGATGAGGACCCCTGGTTGTGAAGTCCGCCAGCAGGCAGCACTCTCGGGATCTGTCTGGTTGGCGGGCGGGGTGGGGTGGGGGTCCAGAACACACACTAACTAGCCTTTGAGACTGAACCAGTGACTACAGCCCAGGCCTGTGGAACCCCGCGCAGCAAGCCCATTCTGGCTGCAGGGAACTTTGAGACCCAGCAGTTTTCTGTAACTTTGGGCCCCCCAAGCTCCAGATCCTGAAGCTGGAAATGGAACCTCTGGATCCTGGGCTCTGGTCTTGGATACATCTCCTCTCCCCCGTCTTTGGCATCCACCCTGTGTCAAGACAAGCACACCTCACGAGATGGGCCCCATCTGGGAAAGGTGCAGGGTGTATCCTTCTCCACCCTTAGCACCGGGGACCATCCACACAAAGTCCCCAGAGCCTCCCCATTTCCCCGGACTCCTGGCTGGGATGCTTCTGGGGAAGGAACTGGGCAGAGGTGGGGTGGGGAACCCGTGAGGCTGGGCCTGCACCGGCTCCCCTCTGAGCTACCTTAGCCTCTGTGGTCTGTGTTCGCACCTGCAGCAGCTGGGCCCACTGGCCACGCTTTGACAGGGGAGTTCTCCCAAATGCTAGCCCCATTTTTCTCTCGCCCTTCACATTTGGCCAAACACCCAAAACACTCAAAGCGCCTCACAATGATCTTTTTCTTTAACATCTAAAACCAAATAAATCCGTTCCCTCTTTGGGGGGAGGGAGTTCCTCTGTTGGGTCACCTGAGCCACTTGGCCAGCAGGGTGGGGGTGAAGTGACAGCCAGTGTCAGCACTGCCAACAGCAATGGTGATGAGCTGATCCACTTTCATTATCTAGCACTTTGAACCGTACTCAGAAAGGTTAATTTAAAAACTCCTTCCCCCCAGACACACATCACTCCAATGCATTAAAAAAACCCACAACTATTAAATATTTCTTTTCTCATATGATATTCTGAAATGAGCATGATCTCCAGACAGGGACAGTCAAGCTCGATTAAATCAACAAAACTATCATTCTTATTACGGTGGGTAAATTCAGCCACAAATCAGGTGAGACCGTCATTTTTTGGAAACAATAAATAACTGAATTTCCTTTAAAACAGTAAACCATCACAGACTACCCACAGACAGCATTTGATGCTGCCACCGCATTTTAACTGTTCAGCATACATTTCTTTTCTTCATCAAAATAGAGAGGAAGGACTTGTGCACCCTTTTCCCTTTCCCATTTCGTTTTTCTTTGCCTCCGAGGTATGCCTACCATAATGCACAAAGTATACAACTATGCCAAGGAGACCAAAGTGTCAATTAAATACCTTTCAACCATATTTATCTTTTCTGGAGACTATTTAAACTAAAGAGCCAAAGGAGACCTGCTTAGAATCACCCAGACAGGTTTTAAAAAGCATTTCTTTGATGTCTCTTTGTTTAGTTTAATCAAGTATTCTCAACCAAATCAGGCTCCATTGTGTAGGTTGCAGATGGGATGGTGTGTGGGTAGGGGGAGTGTTTTGAGCCTTTTGTTTTAAGAAATAAACACGTGATGCCTTTCCATTGGGATGGTAACATTGAGGAGGAAGAGTATTAATGGAAGGGGAGGGTTGAGAGGGACGTGCAGAATATTGCTCCACAGGCATTTAATGGACCGAAAGGTGAACAGGACCTCTCAAATAGTAGTTGTGCTCGTGGACTCTCAAAACAGAATTGTGGCTCTCTGGGTCTCTCCCACAAATATTCCATTTCTTGGGTGATGGTTCTGGAATTCAAACATCTTGGCAAAGGGACCTGCAGGTTATGGGACATTCTAAGGGATACCTGGCTTGGATCAAGGTAGCCCATGTTTTTCTTCCAAAGTGCCCTGTCATGCTTAACCAAGTCTTTGCAAATCCAGCAGAACCTCTGAGCCTACAGAGGACCCTGTGCCTCTGCGCAGTAGCCCCAGCCCCTAGGCAGCTGGGTCTTCACCTGCCCAGTCCTGGGGCCAGGCCCACTCCAGGACGGGCTGAGCGAGGAGGTGCCGTGGGGAGGGTCCCCAGGTCGCTCACACAACACACCAGCGAACAGGAAGGGGCCGGTAGCAGGAAGGCGAGACAAACACATCCAGCCTTGATGCTGATGATGCTAAACGATCAAGCTACACACACATATTTCCCTCCTTCATGATTTCATTCCTAGCGGTTCTACTTTCATAATTGGACCTCCAGACATCGCCACTAGAGAGCCACACACGTCCCTACAGACAGAAACAGTTACACATGCTGTGTCCAGCGGATCCCTAAAGATGCAAACTACCTCCCCCAGGAGACAGCCCCCCTCCCCCGCCGCTCCCCTCTCCCGGAGCCTTCGCGATACATTTACTGTCATTTTCGTTTGTTCGGTGGTGGTTACCTGGACGTCTTCCATCCCGGGGTGGCCGAGGCCGTGCAGCGAGAGGCTGTCACCCATGCCCGCGTCCAGGCCGTGATGCGCCGAGTGCAGCAGCACGTCGGGCCGGCGGACCGAGTGGTAGTCCCTCCGGGGGTCGAGGCCCGAGAGCTGGGGCAAGGCGGCCCGGGGCTGGGGCAGGAGAGAGCCGGCTTCCGAACCCACTTCTTGCCGCTGCCGTTGCCCCCAGGGGTGCTGCTGGGGCTGGTGCAGGGGGTTCAGGGAGTAGGGGTCGTTGACGTGGGAGTAGGGGTCCTGGCTCTGGTGGTAGGGGAGCGGCTGGTAGGGGGGCGGAAAGTAGGGCGGCTGGAAGTCGGACGACGGGGTGTGGGACAGCGGCGGGGCGCTCGAGTAAGGTCCTTGGGACACCGAGCCCAGCTGGGAGAGCCGAGAGCTGTGGCTCGGGACGCCATCGTGCCGGTCCTGGGAGCCGAGAGAAAGGGAGAGAGAGAGAGGAAAGAGAAGGGGAAGAAGAAGAAGGAAAAAAAAAATACAAGCGACAAATGGAGAACCGGCTTCAGTGCTTCTTCCCGGGACGGGGGAAGCAGGAGTCTGAAACTTACACGGCCAAGTTGACTCAGAGGGCGAGTGATTTTCAGCAATTCCAAAGGCAAGGCTTTGGGGGGCAGGGAATGGGGAGAATCACCCACACAACCGACATCGGAGCCTTCCGTGGGGAGTGCAAAGCCAGCAAAAAGGGCGAGGGGGAAATCGCTGTGCATGGGGTGAGGTTCTCAAGTCCTTCGTTAAAAATAGAGCCGGCTTACAGATCGTCTTTGCTCTTCTGGGTGTTCAGGGCAATTGTTTCTAACTCTGCCAGGGTTCCCAAGCACAACAGATGAAACTGCACCCTGTCAGCTGTGCTGCTCCTCCAGTTCAAAACCAACTTCTTCCTTCACTGGCAACCCAGGGGAGGGGGGGGGGGCCGCCCGAGGGACTCCCCACACCGCCCGACAATTCCAGGAGCTGCGAGGAATCTGTGTGATCTGGGTCCCCAGTCCCCCCTCCCGCCCCAAGAGGAATGAATTGAAATCGTGTTTGATTGAAATGGATCTCATTAGGAATCACATCCTAAGCCCCTGTGAAGTTGAGCTGTGGTTTGAAGGAGCTATTTCGAAGGTTGCCTTTCTCTATCTAATGCTATTAGATACTCCAGGGTGTGAAAATGAAGGACTTGAGGTTGGAAGGAGGGAAAATAAAAAAGCCCAGAACTCCCTGTTGGTCCTATCTGGAGTGGTAAACTAAGTGGAAAAAAAAAAAAAAAAGAGGAGGTCTGTGTGAGAGAGAGAAGGGTGTTGAAGTTTCTCCCTCTCCGCTGTGCAAATGCCACGGTAAAGTCCCTGTGTTTCTTTTTGGAGAAATAGTCACCTCAATTTCTAAACTGCAGTAGCAAATGAAAAGTTTTCTCTTTGGTTCCCCCCCTCCCCTCCCCAGCTGACTCCAAGAGCTCAGACGGAGAACACACAATGCAAGAGAAGCAGCTGCAGCCTCGTCCAATTATGGTGCTAAATTACCAAGCCAAAGGCGCTCGGAGGAAGACAGAGACAGAGAGAGTGAGACACGCACACAGAGACGGAGAGACGCAGAGACAGCGAGAGGGAGCATGCAGTTCTGGTACAAAGTGAATCCAAACTCACCATGGATGAATAGGTGTGGACTAACATCTGGAAAAAAAAGCCTGGTTACTGCTCAAAATCAAACAATGATTTCCAAAAAAAAAAAAAAAATCAAGGAGTCCAGCAAAGAAACGAGCTGGACCCAGAAGCCGAGCTTGAAGTGTTTCCAGGGCCAGCCATCAAAAAAAAAAAAAAAGTCCCCCCCCACCCCCAAACAAGATTGGCACTGCTGTCACACACAGAGCTCTTCACCGGTCTCTTGCTGTCTTTTTGGCCTTTTTTTTTCCTTCTGCCTTTTTTTTTTTTTTTTTTTTCCCGGGCCCCAGAAGCCGTCCTCTTCCACCCGCAGCTGGGCTCAGACTGCTCGGGCGCCCCTTCCTCCCTCCGCTTGCCTACACCGCCTCATAATAATTGATATTCATGACTATTAATATTACACGAGTACTTTAAAGGGAGAATGGAGGACAAATGGAGCGTGAAGCAGCAGCCAGCGCAGAGCTCCCCTACTATTGTAAATGACGTTCATTCAGTGGAGAATTACTAGATGTAATCAGACGAGGGGGCTGGCAGAGGCGGACGGGGGAAAAAGTTTAGCAGGAAAGAGGCAGAACTTCAATGGACTGAGCTGGGGACAGCCGCTCGCAGAGCAGCCTCTGTTCCCTGGGACAGGGCAGTGAGGGAGAGCATCGCAGGGGGCTGGTGTAGCAGGAGGTGTCCTGGTTCCTGGAGAGGGACTTTCCTGATGGGAAGAACTGATCGCCCCGAGGTGCTTGGTGTGCAGATTAAAAAGCAGAATGAGAAGGCGTTGTCTCCGCGTTTGGAGGGGAGAGGAGAGGAAGCCGGCGGGCCCCCGTTGTTTACAATGATGTGTGCGGACATCCACCGGACATTGGAGATGATGCTTATGTGTTAGAGGACAGAGGCGACATGGGGGCTCGTGCAGCCGTCCCCACTTTAATGCTCACACACTGAGTCTGTGATTTTTACCTCAATTTAAAATACATGCCATCAATCTTCAGGCACACTAAACCTATCCTTTCCCGGCAAAGCCAGGGGCAACAGAAAACCTTTTCGGATATTTCAGGAACCCGTTCGACTGGCTTGACTGCCATTTCTGTTAAAGTTCAACCTTCCTCCCAACTTAAATGGGCTCCTTCCACCAGGCTGCGGGTTCTCCTCTATTTTTCAGCACAAAATTTAGCAGCTGGGAATATCTGCAATTCTCTCTCTCTCTCTCTCTCTCTCTCTCTCTCTCTCTCTCTCTCTCTCTCTCTATCTCTCTCCTCTCTCCCCCCCCCCTTTATTCTCTTCCCCTCTTCCACGCCACCCCTTCCTCTTCCTCTCGCCCTCCCCTCTTTCTTCTCTCCCCCCTCCTTTATCATTTAGCCAGTTTACTTTCCACAATCGAAGAACGAGTGATGCCCTGCTGACTTTCTCGCGCCCCCCGAAACCCGTCTAGATAGACCACGAGCGCGGCCCACCAGGCCCCTCGCCGCCAGCGTCCGGCCCACCTGGGCCGCTCGCCTTTTCTTTCTAACGCTCGTCCCGCCGCCTTCCACTCCGCGCTCGCCCCGCGCGTTAGAGCAAAGGAGGCCGAACCGAAACGGGCACCGCAAGGCGGAGGCCAGGCTCTTGGTTACAGTCGATACAAAACCACAAAGAGGAAAGGAAAGCCCCAAGCATCATGTGTCATTTGCAGGAAGAGGTCTCTCTCTCTCTCTCTCTCTCTCTCTCTCTCTCTCTCTCTCTCTCTTTCTCTCTCTCTCCAAAATTAGGATTCAGGGCTGGGCAGAGCTGGGGGGCCCTGGGCGCGAGCTCTGCCTGCGGGCGCGGCAGGCGAGCCCCCAGTGTCCCGCGGGCGGGCCGGGGCGGCGGCGTCCGTCGGAGCTCGCGGCCGCCCTGTGCGCCGCGGGGAGCCCAGTGTCCGCAGGGCGGCCGAGTCCGGCTTTCCCGGGTCTCCCCGGAGCGGCCGAGTCGCGTTTCCCCAACTGGTTGGGGGGAGAGGGGGTCTGGGTCTGGTGTCCTACCGCGACCGCTCCTCCCGACCCGGCACCGCCGCGCTCGCCGCCCCGGCCCTTCCCTGCTCCCTCCTCGCTCCCGTCCCCCCTTTGCACTCGCACCGCCGGCCCGCAGCTCCGACCTCCCTCCCCAAGTCCTCTTCGCGGGGCGCCTTTCTCCCGGCTTTTCTTTCTTCCCTCCCCCGACGTCTCCTGGAAATCTTTGCCCCCCACGCCTCCCCCCTCCCCCCCGCTTCCTCTAGCGCCTAATTCGGGGGCTCCGAGGCCATCCCGCTCGGGATCCGGGCTCAGCGGGCTGCCGCCGGCCTTTCCTTCCCGTCCAGCCGCGAGCCCCGCGCCCCGCCCGGCCGCCCGCCCGGCCTGGGAGCCGCCCCGCCGCTCGGCTCCCGGGACCGAAAGGGGGTCGCGGGCGCGGCCGCTCCGACTGCGGGCGCCCCGGGTGGCGGCCAAGTTCTCCGCCGACGGAGAGTTGCGCCAGGGAACCGCGCGCACTGAGCAGCGGCAGCAAATTCGCTAAAAATGCCCAGACGTGGGGTGGCGTGGACGCTCTGCCCCTCAGAGAAGCAAAACCCGAGAAAAGAGAAAAAAATAACTGTGACGACTCCTTGGCGAGGGCTCCATCGACACCCATCTATCTACCTCCCTCTTTCTCTTTTCCGCCCTCTGTTTGGATCCGTTGATGGTCGATTTCAGAAATTTTATTTGAAAATTTAAAAAAAATGAAAGCCTGAGTCCAATGAGACTTGAAAACCTAATCCTCGCCCACACTCCGGACCAGGGTTGCCCCTGCCTTCCGCAGCCTCTGTCTTCCCTGCCCGCCTTCCCCATCGGAGTCTTAGGGGGCGAGGGGGTGGCGAGGAAGGGAGAAAGAAAAAGAACAGAAAAAATAGAGAAATCTTCTAAGTTAGCCAGATTTCAACCTTCAAGTCCCTTCTCAGAATAGCGAAGTCTCCCCCAGCCAGCTTTTCTAAAAGTTAAGAGAAAGCTGAGAAAACCGACCGGAAATCTGCGAGGAAAACAGCTTTTTTAAAAAAACACACAACACAAATATATCAGTTGGGGTGTCAAGAAGCTCAAATTGTCTATCTGCAAAAAGTCTAAGATGCACCGGGGGTGTCCGCTCACCTCATAGATATCTTCGTACTTGACATTCTCCACGAGCTTCCAGAGCATGATGGCAGCCTGGTCTCTAGGAGGTGAGTGCATTCATGTGAGGAGCAGATGTCTGGCTTCTCAGGACTCCGCTGTCTGTAATGATCCATCTATAATTGGAAATGGGGGATACACACCAAATCCGACGCTCCTCTCCCATCGCAACTTATATCTGCTGCCTCAAACAATAGGCTGGACAAGTCAGCCTCAGCAGAGAGGAAAGACATGATTACACACTCAGGAGTTAGATGCAACCCACAGACAGATATATATATATTATAAAAATCATAAACACGGGTTTACACCCAGATGCCCACATTTAGTTATGTAAGCACCCCCTGGGTCACGCAGTCCACAGACGCTACCCATGCATTTTAAAGGAGAAAAGATGGTTGATTCGTGTGATTAATATAAATATACACATTTTAAAAGCCTCTCTATTGAAAATGATGAATCATGGTAGCCACTAACGAAAGACTTTAAAATTCATAATGAGAAACCAGGGGGCCAACAGCCCCCCCCCCATTTTTCTATCTAGATTTTAAAAGGGAGATCATTAGTGAGATTTTTAAACACAAAAGCTCCTATTCCTCTGTGTTTCGCAGGAGGGGATTTTTAAAGCTGGATTTTGGGATTTTAAGGGTGATCTCTCTGTGTGGATGGCTATGTAACTTTTTTTAAAAAAACTGTACCTCTGTCACTGTAGAACAAAAAGCCAGCTCACCGGAGTGACCGTTTCTAACATTTTTTTTGGTCATTTTGATGAACACAATGGGTAACTTAAATGCTATATGAACACCTCAGTCCACACTGTTTGTCATTTTATCGGTTGTTTGTATTTTCAACAGATCCCATGAGCCATTTTTTTTTTCTTGGCTGGAGTCTCCATTTTATGAAGTTATTTTTTTCTTTTTTCAGATCTTGGGAGCAACGTAAGAACATGCACCCATCTACACAATGAGTGAATTTGGAGCCTTCTTTGCGGAAAGGAGACAGTACATTTTCCATTTACAGCTGTTTGTCTATAACTAACTTTTAAGTGGTTTTAATCACGGAGAATCAAAAACAGTCACCTAACCCTCTGGAAGGTTTGAGCAGAATGCTCTTTTAAGGCATCCTGAAAAATATTTGGGGGTTTGTGGGTTTTTGTTTGTTTTGATGTATTTTTTCCTAGTAAGGTGATTTGTATAGTGTTTTTTTTTCTTGTCTTAATAAGGACAACGTAAACAACGATAACAACGAAGTTCCCCAAACCTGGAGCATGGGAGCCCTTTAAGGCACAGGGACTCTGAATTTCATCACAAGGTGAAGATTCACCTCATTCCCCTCTTTCCCATCCCCTCTATTTTTTTTCCTATTCCCTTTCAGGGTGCGGAAGGATCCCCACAGCCAGAAGGGAAGTCCAGTGGAGGATCCCCGCCCCTGGGGCAGAAATTAAATGACAGGAGGGAATGAGGAGGGACCAGGGCAATTTGGGGTGGAAGTTATTAAACCTGATAAGGATGAATCTGCAAAGGGCGACTGTCTGTAAGTCTCAGGACTGCGGCAGCGGCCGCGCTGGAGCAGGGACGCCCCGAGGAGAGGGCTCCGGACACCCGCGGTGGACACGGCTCCAGAAAAGCCCAGGGATGCTCCATATAGCGTAGAACGAACAATTCAGCAGTTTTTAAGTTGAAATTTTTAAAATGATAGGTGAAATGAAAGGAACACAGAGAAGTGCTTCAAAAGGAACTTTAGAAATAAACCCTACCTTAGTGTCCAGTTTTAATGTTTATGCTTTGCCTTTCTGTCCTCCCTCCCTCCCTCCTTTCTTCCCTCCATCCTGTCCTTCCTTCCTTCCTTCCTTCCTTCCTTCCTTCCTTCCTTCCTTCCTTCCTTCCTTCCTTCCTTCCTTCCTTCCTTCCTTCCTTCCTTCCTCCCTTCCTTCCTTCCTTCCTTCCT